TTAATGAGGAAAATATATTGTTTAAGTGATAGGAACTTCCTAGGTTTTGTAGCTAGTAAAGAATGAAAATTTAGTGATTTTATGTTAAATTGAACACGGAGGTTTCATTAGCTACCTTCATATTCCTTACAGGTCATTTATATTAAATTTCACAGAGCTGCAGAAGTAAATGTCTGTGACTAAAGTTGTAGTCTTCCAGTTTGGCCATCTTTTTTAGAAATAGTCAGGATGTTTTGCTTTGCCATTTTCTAGTGTTGGTAAATGTTTGATATTTTAACTGCCAGTCTTCAGCAGATGTTTACAACCTTCAAACAAAATACTTCATTAACCTTTGTAGCATAAGCTCTTGCTTGATTTGTTGTGATACTAATGTAAAGAAGTTGTAGGGGAAAAAACCTTGAATACCCATATATCTGAAATGGCTGAGAACTTATAGGAGGTTTGAACCCCAGATTTCTGTGACCACCTTCAACAATATTTAATTTTAAAGTAAGACAGTGTTTTTTGGGGGGGGGGGGGATCACAAGGCTCATAATATATAGAATAACTTAGAATTGAACAGAATAAACAGAAAATTCTTATTGCAACAACTTTTTTTTCCTCAAAAAATGAGCTTTATTGAGAGCGTGTTCAATCTTACGCTCTTGAAATTTGTTTCAACGTCAGTGAATAAGTCTTACCACCTGTAGGTTTCATTTTATGGTAATTTTGCATTATTGTTTATAGTCTCCATTGACTGGCCTTAGAAGAAATTGACTTTTTATGACAGTTATTCATATAGGTTACAGTTGGATGGAGGGGTAGAAGAAGAATGCATTGAAGCACTAGAAGGATTTTCGTTTCATTTCATAATCGTTAATGGTTAAATGGGGGGGGGGAAACACATTGTAAACATGACTTTTGAGAGCTGGGGAAAGCTGTTGCGTACAGTTCAGTCATTTTGGACAGATGCATACTATTTTCCCTATTCAGTTGCCATCAGTTAAGCAGCTATCGTAATGATAGCACAGCAGCATGAAATACATTAAATACTATCTTTCGTATGGTCAGTTAGGATTGATTTCTAAAGATGAGGCTAATAAAGGCAAGACTTGCTTGTTGGTTTCTTATCTCTTCTCATACAAGATGCAACATATGCATCTGTGACTTCAGAAAATGCTTTCTGCCCTGTGTCTCCAATTCCAATTTTTCTTCTAAAATTAGGCAATTAAATAAGCAAGAGATATTAAAGCAACTTACTGAGAATGTATTGAGAGTATTTTAATTTTTTTTTTAATGCTAGTTGTATGAATTAAAAAAGCTCTCTTGCATTTGGGAGGGTTACAGGCTGGGGGGTGTCCTGCAATCCGCATACAGGTAATGAGTTCAGTTTAAGGTAAGTGGGTGCTAACCTTGTGTCAGTAAGCTACTTTGTTTAACAGAAGACCTGGTATATCCAATGTAGCATATTATAAATTCAGTATAATAGTAATAATTATGTGCAGGTGCATATGCAAACAAACAATCATAGCTTTTTCTGACTTGCAGTTCTGCCGGAGAAGGAAAACTGAAAGGAGAGAAAAAAGGTTAATAATGGTTTTGGCTTACAGATTTGTATTTCCTTTTTTAGTTCTGCAATTTTAACATCTTTTGCTAATTTTCTGTGTGGTGAAGGAGTTTTTTTGTTGGGTCCTCATGAATTAAGGCAAGAGTCTGAGCACAAGCCCTAATGTTTAAAGCTTGATGCTTTCTGTTCTGTTATCCAGGCTTTGCACAAATTGCAGAAGGGTAGCAAGTTCTGTCTGTCAGCTGCTTAGTGCTAACCTTGGCCATATGCTTTCTATGGTAAATGTGAAGTAGCCTCTTCCTTTTTCACACATAAGTGGATAAGCCACCTTAATTAGCTTACATTTGTTGCATGATGCTGCAGGTTAAAAGGGTTTATGCAGGTAGATGTTGTGGTGAATTTGCTTTATAGGAATTTTTTCGTGTGGCAAAGCTTTTTTGTATAGCAAGGATATTAAAGTTTCCAGTATTATTAAATGAATAATATAAAATTTGCATATGCAAGAATAAACTTCAAGTTTCTCAATATATTGTTACATATGAGAATATTATCTGTCAACATCTGTGAAACTGCTCAAAAAGACTGAGTGCTTTGTGTTATCTATTATTTTTGTTTTGTAATACTTTCTGAATAAAAATAGTATTCATATATTTTTCTTTTGATGCTGAAATTCTAAAGCTGTGCTCTCGCTTGGGGGTTCTTTTTGTGGAGGTTGTTCTTGAAGGTTTTTATGAGGAAAAATAGAGAAAATGACTGAATTTTGTTGCAGAATTAGAATGCTTTGTAATATTCTGAGTTTCAAAGAATCAGTTAAGATACTAATTATCTACCATTAAGCATTATATAAAAATAACCACTTTGACATGAATATTTAATTTTTAGTATGACTGTGTAAAGCAGCTCTTTGGAAAATATTGCAAACGTATCCAGCTATGTTAACTTTGAAGTCTACTTTTTAATTCACTGACTCCAGTAGTAGCCATTTCTGACATTCCATTATAACCACATATGTGGTTCTAAATTCTATATTTCTTTTTGTACTGCCAGCACTGGACACTTATAATGTAGGACTGAGTGGGGAAAAAAGAAGAAACTTAAAAACTAGCTGAAAAAAAGCGTGAAGACACTTGAATTGGAACTTAGAATAAGGGTCCACAAGTTCAGGTACATGATTCGTAAAATTCTGGACATTGGTTTGTGTGCCCCAAGGCTGTAAGAGCCTAAGTCTTTGCCAATGAGTTTACTTAGATGCCAGATTTTATCACATGCCCCAGGACATTGCTGTCTTGGAAAAGTGAAGTGTTTTGCACCCATGTCTTGCTTCAGCCTGTTCAGGGTTCACAAATGAGGCTTCCCTGTGCTGTAGCCATTGTAAGGACCCAGTCCAGGTGGAAATCAAGATGCAGCAGGATTTCTGTCTTGTGATTATTACATAATATTAAGATTTTGAAATATGTTATTCTACATACTTTTCCTGTAAATGGGTCTATTAATAATATGTTAAACTATACCTGATTTATGGAATTAGTCATGCATTGATAATTTGCTGAGAATCTTAACACTATTCATTGTATAAAAGCAGATTGAAACAAATTACTGCTTGCCTGAATATTTAACAAGTGAAATGTCAATAATCAGTGAACAAGGTATTCTGTAATCTTTCAACGTAGTGCATATACTTTTATTTAAAAATAATTTCAAATATCTGTATGATAATTTTTGTGTATACAGATCTTTGTAAAATTTTCTGTTTTATCTGTCAATACATGCTTTTCAGAGTGTATCTTAAAATATCCAATAACATTTCATTTTAGTATGAAAAGGGCAGGAGCTAGACATTTAAATATAGCTTTGTGCAACTTGGCTGAGTACCTTTTATTATTTATATTTTCATTGATGCTGTAGTATAACAAAGTTGGGGTCTGTTCTTCCTTTTATATGAGAAAATTGTTTACTTATTGTTCCACACACTGCTTAAAGGTAATAAGATTGAGTAATTAATTTAGTCAAGTTAGAACTCTGGACTTCAGCAATGATGGTAATCTGTGGGGGAAGAGCTTAAAAAGGCTTTCATATCCCAGGCTTAAGTTTGTAAGGAAATTGATCTAAAAATTATCCCAGGCATAAGTTTGTAAGGAAATTGATCTAAAAATTGTATTTTTACCTGGCTAACCCATTTTTAAGAAATTTTGGGCATAATGTCGATGCTTGATACTTTGAAAACATGTAAGATAGCAATTAGATGCAAGTTGATTACACTGACTTTAATGGCTACATTCTTTAAATTTATGATTTTTTTTTTTTTTAGTGTAGAATATGGGGGGTTCATTTGGTTTTTTTTTTTTAAGAATAAATGTTGAAGTATATTGATGCAGTTTGAGTAATTACTAATTGTTTTCTGGAAACCTAAGCTCGAGGTTCAAATGGCCACTGTAGGTGCTTTATATGTCTGAATGAGAAGCCTAATGTTGAGACATGAGAATATCTCTTCTAGTTTAAATAAGATCATGTATGAGTGTTAAAAATATATTTACCATAACTTTTATTAACTTTCTAGTTAGTTTTTGGGTAACAATGCACATGATTTTTGTGCTTAAGGTAGTTGTGTTTATGGGGTTTAGGTCTTCATCCACAGCAGCATGATGGTGATAATCCAACCTCTTTTTATGGTATTAGAAAGATGAGGCTCACTTTTATTTGTATTTTGGGGAAGGCTTTTGCCTTCATGCCTCTTGGGGGACTAGGTATAAAGCACAATCAAGATGCTGAATGACCTCAATTTCTGTTAGCTACTATGGGGAAAGAGGGCAGTACCTGACTTTGGAGAGTAAGGTTTAACAGTCTTAAATAGTCTTAAGTAAAGTAGTAAGTATTTTAACTAAAATGAAGTGGCAGCTGCTTTTTGGAATATGAGCAATACCTTTGCGAAAACATATTTTCCATTGGATAAAGAAACATAGATTGTAATTCATTTTAAGAAAATACTCAATTTATATCATCTATAGTACATAGGTGCTTGAAGATCTTTTGAGTTAATATGTCTATTAAATATTTATCAAATTGTATAGAAATTTAAGTTAGTGGGTTTGAGAGAGAACTGGCACAATACCTAGCAGAGAAATCAGCTGGGATATTGGTCATAATTACGTGGCATCATGCTGTCTGGAGAGAACTAAGCTAGCTCTAAGAAGTTAAGAAGCATCTCAAGTAGCATGCATCTGGTAATGTGGTACTTTTCTTGGATTAGTTAGTCTTCCATCTCAGTACTTGTGGTGGTCTTGCTACTGAAGATGCTTTATTCTTAATGAGTTAACATTTCATACCTCTCCATAGCATTGCAGTGTGCTATGTAAAGATAACTTTTTACATGGCATGGCAGATGGAAAATTTTATGTCATGTTTGTTGAACATCACAGTTATGTTCGTAACCTATTTCCATTTTGCAACAAATCAGGTGAGGAGCCAGGAGGGGTAGCCAAGAAAAAAACTAAAGTCAAAGGTATTTCTAACGTTCTTTTTCTTGTGGAACTTTATGCAGATAATGATGTCTGAAATGCATGCGCATTGCAAATACAGAATGCAGGTTATAATAATGTTTACTAATACTAGCTATGTTGGCTAAGTGTTGTCTAACGGTGCAGCAAACTATTATCCTCCCCATTTTTCAGTAAGTTTTTTTTACCACTGATTGTAATTTAATGGCAATGTGAATGCTTTCCTAACTAGAGATTATATTTTGTTTGTGCAAATTTATTTTACAACAGTTGTCTTGTTTAGATTATAAGTAGTTTATGTTAACTTCGTATTCTGCATGTTTAAAAAAAGTTCTGATGTATATGCAGATTTTGGTCTGTGTGAAATCTTCCTTTAGTTATCTTTCATGAATTCATTATACTATTAGTATCTTGTAATTGGACTCGAGCACCTTGATTTCTGCTTAAGTCTGTACTTAAATAGTTTCATCTATTTTTTTCTTATGGGAGGAGAAATTTAGGTAAAGTTCAATAACTTCCCCTTTAATATTATTTGCAGGATTGATTGCAGTGATGATACTTAGAAATTTTCCAAAAGCTTGACGTAGGATAGCTTGCAACCGATTTATGCCATATATTTATTTATAATTACATTGCTGTATGAACAGGACATAATGGTCTAAATGTGTTCAGTGCAACAGAGAGACTAAAAAAGCTAATTAGCCTCACCAAAACACCAAACTACCAGATGTTCTTCAGGTGCTTAACTCTTTAGAAGTGCTCGGTTATCTCCGCACAGCATGGTGCTATGTAAAGAACACAGTCTCTTTGCTGCATTAAAGACACTTAGACTTTAATGTGTTTTTTCTAGCAGTATGTGAAAAATGCACGCTGTTTGTAATACAAAGTCTCATTAAGAAAAAAGGGCATTTGCTGAGGGAAGCTCTCATGCTCGTATGAATGTGACTTTTCTTAGCATCTTGCATGCAAGTTGAAATTTTTAGCATTTGTTCCACATTGTGCTTGGTATGACTTGGTTGCAAATTGTGTGTTTCTAAGAATGTAATAAATGTCATTTAACAACTCATTCCTGAGTTTTGGATTATTTTTCAGTGTTTGGTATGAGAATGAAGACATGGTATGATATATTTCAAATGCTTTATGCCAAAATAAAAAAACAGTTGGAAGGAACCGTGATGTTATTCCTTTTAGATTGAGCTATGGGATTGAATTGTTCACTCGCAGAAATGGTACACAGCGGTTAGAGGCAGATGTTACAGGAGAAATGTTGTCACTTGCCTGCTTTTTACCTCAACAGACAGCAGTTTCTCTCAAAAATCTGAATAAAAATAGAGCTGTTGTATTTTATATATAAAATCGTAATTGCTTTTTTAATAATGTGGGAGTATTAACTTTAAAAACAAATACTGCATACAGAGATTTAATGGAAAAATTTCTAAATTTCACTGAGTTAAAAATTCCTTATTCTGGAGAATGCTGCTGGTACTGACAATGTTTTTCAAAGCTGGGGGCAAAGTGGAAGTAAATATTGAACATTTAAATTTGAAGGATGCTGTTCTGACTGTTCTTCTGATATATTATCTAGCTACTGTGTCACAGCCAAATGGGAATTGAAATAGAGAAAATAAGCACAAGAGGTACAACTCCAAAAGTAAAATACACAAAAAAGTATTACTAATAATGCTCCATATGGAAAAGCAAAGATGTAAGAATTAATTTACAGTTGTTACTTTGATTTCACTGAATATGGTCAAACCAAGTTAACTTTTTTGGAGTTGATTTAATTTACCAGGGCATTGCTGTTTCTTTTTAATTATGGTGTACTTATTTCTTATTTTTGTAAAATATATGCTTAAGATACATTTATAAGTCTTGGCCTAATCTGAGGTAACAATGTCAGTAAAATGTTGTAGTATACATTTGTGTTGTTACAACACTTTCATTTGTAGTTTTAGGAAGTTCAGAAAATTGTGAAAAAAATGTCTTTTTGCAATGCTCTTGACATTTCTAGATCCTACAATGGTCACACTGTTGTCAAAGATTCAGAATTTACTGTGATTTTTCATGCTGACGGACAAAACTGTCTTTAGCATTCTGCAGAAGTTAGCTAACAGTAAGATAATAGAGGCATGGTTTTCACTAGATTAATGCTTTATTTGGATGCAGTTGCAGTAAGCTAAGGTTATTGGCTGGCTGCATGGTGTGAGATATTGCTAAAAGTCAGAACTAATTTGTTTAAATGGCTTAAAGCTTAAATAGTTAATTATACAAGTTTAAATTGGCATCTAACACACATTAAGAATTTGATGAAAGCTTTTAGATAGTTGCTCATAAGATGTTTTCTGATCTAAGAATGGTTCTCTTATTGAACATTTCCTCTTTTTTAAATGAAAAACTAAAAAGTAAAAGAAGTAATTAAAGAACCGCTCAAGAAATTAAAGGAGAAGCAGGAATCCAAGAAGGAGGAAATCAAAGATGAGGAAGGAAAAAAGAAAGCCAGGAAAGGAAAAGAGGCTACTGATCGAAAGGACAAGAAAGCTGTTGATATGAATAAATTAAAGAGAGATTCTGACAAGGCTAAAAAAGACAAAGGAAAAGAAAAGGAAAAAAGCCTAGACAAAAATGTGAAATCCAAGGAGGCTACAAAAAAATCAGCCAGTGAAAAGGATGGTACTATTCAGGTGGGAAAAGACAAAGAAACAAAAAAGATAGTTAAAAACCCCTCCAAGGAAGACAAGAAAGAAAAGAAATAAGCAGAGTTCTGGTTGTGCTAATGAAGAACAGACCTCAAGAATGAGAAATTCAGCATATTTATATGAATGTGGTAAATATGGCAATAAGAAGATAATGTTTTCTGGTAATAAGTGTGAACAAAGGCTATATTTAATCATTTTTTGAAAACTGTTAAGTGTGTACTGGCATTGTAAACACAAAGCAAAAATGTCTGCTGTGAATCTCAAATATGTACATATGTTAATATGCCTGGCTAACAATGTGTACTGAAAACAGAAATATCAAATTGATGCAAATTACTTCAAGCATACTCTAAATCTCGGTGTTTTTGTTTCTCCCCCCCCCCGGTATTAAAATGCTGTTTTCTTGATGTGGGGATGAAAGTGTAATGTTGTATATCAAATGCAAGTTTAAAAGCAATATTAAGAGGATTACCTGGACACATACACTGGAAACTCACAAAAAATATTTCTGTTTCACAAAAACAACTAAGAGGAGCATTAATAGAATGTATTGTCATAGGAGCTTAGCAAATAAATGTAAATTATTCCCTGCTAAACTTTTTTCCCCTATGTAGACTGAGAAGACTATTTTATACACGAACAAACAAACCAACTTTAGTGTTGCGTTTATTTATGAGACTTCACTGTATACTCAACCAAATTTATTGATCCTGTGACAATATGTTCTGCTTTTCTTTCATCCTTTCTTTCTTTCTTTCTTTCTTTCTTTCTTTCTTAGCTATCTTTCTTTCTTTCTTTCTTTCTTAGCTATCTTTAGGTCTGAAAACTTGATTCACTGTCACTTTTCAGTTTACTGTGTCCTGATTTTTTCCAAGTTTTCCAAGCTTCTGGTAATGAACACTGCTGAAAATTAGGCCACCTATTTCACCATTGATGGGTATTGTTGGATTCCAATCACGTTTTAAGAAATGATATGTTACTACTGTATTTTGGTTAAACTTCTTTGGAGAACAGCTTGTGTATTATTATTTTCTTCAAACAACACTTTTGAAGTACGCGATACTTCTGTAAGCAAGCTCCTGTGTTAGTTTGCTCTTACAGCTTCTGTATATTTAACACCAAGGAATGATTCATCTAGCAGCCTCATTAGAATAAACAAAGTTACAAAACATTTCTTCAGAGATATTTCAGTATGGTATTGAATCTATACTTGCTTTCAAGTTTATATGGAAAAGCAATATTTTTTAATTTTACTAGACAAATAATATCACTTAGTATGTAGAAATATTAATTGCACAATAAAATTACACAAGATTCAGAACAAAATTTGTAATGAAAGTTGAAGATTTATTATTGTAATACTGCAGTAATGTTTTAAAGAAAACAAAACTATGGAGTGAAATTGAGCATGAGTATATATATGTGGGTGGTGGTGTAAGATAAAAGTCCTGAAGGTTGATTCTGTTTGTGGTTTTGCTTAAATTTTGTGTATAACAGTTGGCAATACACTTACCTCAGACTTTCGATACAGCACATACATGTGTCTAACATGGTTTGATCCATAGAGCTATAAGATGTGGTAATAGGGTAAGATATCTGATTTTTTTTTTTTTTTTTTAGAGGAAACTTATGAAAAACAGTTCAAATGAAAGCTGTAGAAAATAGTGCAGTAGCTTAAGGTTCTGGCTGTGATAATTAACAGAGATGATATACCGAGCTATTTTCTAAATATTTATATATGTGTGAAGAAGGAGGGAGAAGATGGGTGTGTTATGAACATTATAGTGCTTAGCAAAAAACTTGACAGAATGAAGATCTAATAAATGCATTGCATAATGAGCATTCTCTTAGGTTTTGGTGATGATAGACATGTTTATTCATCTTTGCTCTGACAGATGTTAAGATACATCTTTGATCGAGGAGCACTCAAATCACACTTCTCAAGAATGGTGGCACAGTGGTATAGTGCACATCACTTTTTATTTTCTCCCTGATGTGACAGAAGTTTTAACTGTCTGGGAGTGAAATTTGGAATGAATTGCCTTTCTGATTAACATATTACTGTATCTATGACCCAAAGTTTATCTGGTTCTAAAAAAGTTTTTTTTTTTCCAAAGAACATTTTATTTGAGCAGCACTCCAAGCTATACAGATAGCCACACAGTAAAATGAGATCTTTGCCCCAGAGATCTGTTTTGCTGTTGTGTATCTCTATGAAATATTATTGTCATTCATCTTAACGTGGCAAGTTACCACAAAGCTCAAAAAATGCACCACACAAGTAAAAACTGAGTGCAACTTTATTTTGATAAAAAGATGAGAGAAAATAGTATCTTGCAAAAAGTAAATGACTTGACATACTACATACTCAACAGGATTGAATAGGAATTGGTGATAAACACGATAGATGTGTATAAAAAGCTTGAAAACAAAGTTGAGAAATGTGCAAGCAAAACAAAGAAATACTCTTGCTAGTCCCTTCTTTCCTTTTACACACCCTAAGTGCTTGTTGGCTGTGAAATATTGAATAGCTTTTGAAATACTTTGAATCCATTTATTGTTCATGAAGCAGAGCAAGTGGTTGTCTGGAATTGGAGATGTGAATTATCGGAGGATGTGAGGACTTATTTAAAGAGGTGTATATGTAAGGGAAGTGAACTGTATTTGAAAGCACGGTGGCTGTTTCTACGCCTCCAGATTCTGAAACGTGAGACAGTGGCTAATATAAGTAACTGGTTTTATCTCCGTATGTACTTAAAGATGATTGTAGAAGGAAGTAACTTCTTACTCTTGTAGCCATTAATACTACTGTAGCAAAAGATGAATGTAAGTCTTAATATTTTTGAATATTTCAGGGTTTTTTTTAATGACACAGAAGAAAATTGGCAAAAAATGAAGTGTAAATTTGGCTTTTTTCTTCTAGCTTCTGATCTTGACTCCGTAGTAGCGGACTCTTAGTTACAGTACTTTTAGGTACAGCCTAACTACTTATCTTCATGTAATTTAACCAATACAAAAAGGTGTAAGTAGAATTGATTCTGTTATTCCTGTTCCCATTACTTATATAGGGTAATGGAATAAATATTTGTTTTTCTCACGATGCATAAAATAATATCTCTAGTTTACACAAAGTTGTTTTGAGGCATACTAGTCCTATTTGTATTGAGATATGTTTGACTCCAGTAGAAACCTGGTGATTATTTGTTTTGTTTTTTAAAAACTTTACTGACTTGAAATATAATACTTATTTTTCCACTTAAGGTTACTTTTACAAGACTGTTAGCAGTACAGGAGTGTTCATTATAGCATAGCCTCTGCTTTCTTAAATACTACTTTTCTATTGATACCTGTGCATACAGCTCTTGAGAAACTAGCTTGTTTTGGGCAGTGTGTGTGTTTATATAAGAAGGTAGTTTTTATCTTAATTGACCTTGGAACTTAAATATGAACCTAGGAAAAATGACGTAGGATTATAGGAGAATTCCATTTGGAAGGGACTTCAGGAGATCCTTATTCCAACATCCTGCTCAAAACAGGGTCATCTCAGAGGTATGATTAGGTTACGCTGTCCGTTATCCAGTGTGGTCTTTAAAACCTCCAAGGATGGGAATGCACAACCTCTCTGTGCAGCCTTTTCCACTGGTTTGACTATCCTCGTGGCGGGTGTGGGTGGGTGCGTGTGTGTGTGTGGAAGTTTTTTCTTATATCCAGTCTGAACCTCTCTTCTTTAAGGCTTGCTTGAATCCTGCGTAAAGGATGGTCGAGAAGAGGATAAGGCTAATACCAATACATTCCTTCTTGAGAATGTGGTGTCTTAAGATGTGCCATAATCTTTCAAGGCTATGAATTATCTTTATCTCTTACTATGGTGTTGATCATTGCTGCTATTGGTTGCTTTCTTTTCATTGTGTTTTGATCTAGAAAGACTCTGTGGTATAGACAGTAAGCATCTTAGTGGTGAAATTCCATCAGTCATACTTTTTCTGTAGTAATTTAGTTGTCAAAAGAAATTGGAGATTGAGATTACCTTATTTGGAAGAAACTACATTTCTCTTCATCAGATCTTCTAAGATTTAACATATGAATTTAAAATACCTCTTCTCATTCTGAGCAGCATGGTATAAAGTTCAAATTAGTTCATCACCTATAAAATTGATCATATGAAGCCCTTTTTGCCCAAACAGAAAAACAGCGAGACAAACCTGCTGCTTATTTTTCTTCTGGATACTGAATAGGTGTTGAGAATAGCATAGTCCTTTGTTCAGTTACTTTGAAATAAAGGCAAATGCTTAAATTTCTGTCCCTTTTTTCCCTTCATTGTATGTTTGTCTTCAAAACATGTATGTTTACTATCTGAATACACTTTAGTCTTTGTATATATCAGTGTATATCAGGACAGCCCTGTAATTGTGATGAGTTGTTTGAATACATTTTGGAGAGTTTAACATCAGTTAATTTAATTGAAACAACTTTCTTAGTCTATAAATTAATCAGATCAAAAAGAGCATAAAGTTAACTTTATAACTGAAAAATGCAGGCCTTAAAGAAAGATCTGTCCCAGCACAGCCAACATCACCAGAATCTGAGGAGACCATCCAGCCTGCTGAGAAGTCATATGTCGAATCAGGTAAGGCCTTTCGTAAACCATAGGCGAAACAAAAAGACACAATGCTTCATTTGAATTATAATTCTGTTTCCTTAGCATGCAAACTCATTGTGTTATTTCTTTGGGTGGAAAAAGAAATCTTTCATCGATTTTATGTGTTGCTTAATGGGAATCACTGTTGATAACTTTATATAAATCACTGACCATGAAAAGTTTATAATTTAAATGTATAGAAGGCATTCTTGTCAGCTGTTATGGTTACTGTTGGAATCATATCACATCAGAATAATTTTCTGCTGATGTACAGTTGTGGTTTTGATATGTATGCAACAGTATACCCAGTCAGAATAACAGCACAATCTCCACCTTAAAAAAACCCAACCAACCAACCAACCAAAACAACTCCAACAACCAACTTCATAAGATAAATCAAATATTCACTTTTCCACTAAAACCAATAGTATATCATAAATGCAATAAATACAGCTTCTAGTGCTGAAAAAAGCATTTAAACATTTTAAAAGCCCCATAAGTGTTAGTAAAATTTATTCGGTTCAAGAGGAATTCAAGAAAAAATATTTTTACATGTCAGATTTCAGATACGTGATTTGCATTTTAGGGTTTTTCAGAGAGTACATATTTTTTTCCTGTTCCTTGAAGAGGCTTATCCTACTTAATGTTTATGTGAACCTAACACAATAACCCACAAATGTGGAGCATATGGTCAATCAAATGGAATATAGAATTTGTTTTGAAAGATTTGCATTACTTTTCTGAAGTTATCATTTATAAAATATATCAAGTTAAGATGTCATTTCCTTTTTTGTTTTTTATAACTGATACCATTTTGGATCTTTATTTGAAAAATGCAGCTGTGATTTGGTTTCGTGCTGTTGAGTTTCTCAATGTTAATTTCAGGACATTTATATGAAGGCAGCACTTCATACAAATTCCTGTTATGTCCTGGGCTGGTGTGTTAGATGACAATCACTTGTCCCTGAAATCAGTTTGTGATTTATTCTGCTATGAATTGCCAGGAGAAGGCCTTGATATTGTAATGTTAGTATCTATTTTCCCTGTTTATAAAGGCAGCAAAACCCCACTTCTGCAAGTGACATTTTGTCATCAAATATGACATGCTAGTGCTGCTGCCTAAATTGTAGGAAAGTAATGGATGAAAGCGTCAGTAAAATAATTACTTAGAATTCTTGGTTTGAATAGTTATCTGAAGTTGTTAATGTTACTGCCACTGAGAAAAAGATATGTGCAGAAAATGCGGTGTAGATAAATTCTTCCGATTCATCTTCAGAATGAATCTGATGTGATTGGTGCAATACTTTCCATATTGGAGAGTAAGCAAAACCAAATTGTTTTAGTAATTGCGTGAGTTGCAGAGGTTCACCAAGTCAATCTCTACAGAACTTTATGGAATGGAATAATGACTTTATGGAGGCTACTAAAAGGTGCAAGCCTTGAGCTAATGTTTAGACTTTGCATTTTGCACTTACCTTCACTGCAATTTATAATCCTTTTAGAGCACAAGAATGCTGACATAGAATTGGAAGAGGAAATTCAGTCTGTTCTTCATGAAGCTCTCCATTCCCAGCCTGGTAATGCATGAACGCTTAGAAATCACTGAAGAATTTGTAAATACTGCCATAGGCTAGACAAATCTCAGAGTCTGGTTTTGGTATGCACTTAAAGTAGTTTTGCCTGCATAAAACATTCTAATCAGCTAATTTGTCATTTTCAAGAAAATTCAGAAAGTTCAGTCACCAAATCCTAAAACTGTGGCCTCTTACCCGGAGGTGTTTGGCAGCAGTAGCTCAAATCAGTCAGTTGACAAAAACTTCCTCAAAATACTGTGTAGAATGCAAGAATGGGTAAATAGAGATGGCTTTTACTGTGGTTTTCTCCAGGAGCAAGGCGGCACTGGCAAGTCAGTGCAGATACTTTACGTTTATACTGCTGGAAGGTGCAGACAAGTCATCTGTCCCCCTCCCCATCCCCTTTGGGGACTAGTTGAAAAACATGAAGGGTGTGCTGAAGACTGAGTATGTGCTGGTAATAGAATTTACCAAAGAATATCTATTCTCTAACAATCTGTATTATTGATTAGGAGAGAGACATGAAGACGTAGATGAAAGTATAAATGAGCAGTGGCAAGTGAAGGAAGAAGTACATGGAGAAACTTTTGAAGCTCCTACAACAGATGACTTGCTCAGAGAATTAGAGAATGAAATGCCAGAAGCGTATGAGACACCAGACTCAGTTCAGAAAGGTATCTGAATGACTAAATATATTTAAAATTAAATTTTGCCAGCAATAGGGACAGACAAATGGAAATATCTCATTAAAAACTTGACTCATAATTTCTACTTACAGTAGAGACTTAGCAAATGTCGACCATGACAAGTTCTATTTAGCAAATATTTTTTAAATCAGAATGGGATATTTTAATGCCATGTGTTTTGGAATCCAGGTAACTATATATTATTAGTATTTACTTACTGCTATATTGGCTTTCAAACAAACAAATCAATCTGTGCTCCAGGTATGCATATCTCCCCCAGTAGAGGGACTTCTGTAATATCTGTATGGAGTCTGCTTCTGGACTTTCTGGTTTATTAAATTAAATTTTAAGAGTTTATTAGCACAGCCTTTTGTAGACAGACTTACTCTCACTCTACTTTCCTTCTAATGTGGCTCTCTAAGAGAATGTTATACATGAACTATATTGCAAGTCCTGCTGAGAACATAACACCTTATAAAGAAGATGCTCATATCCTGCTGCCTTGGAGCACTGACAGGATGATACAAATTTGTTTGCAATTAAAATATTAAAGCAGAATCATATGATCTAAATCCAACTTACGGAAAAATATTTCTGAATGCTTTTTGTCTGCAGCACTGAAAATTTTACATATATCTTAATAACCTCTTTTTGAAAAAGTCATGTAATGGATGTTATCTAAAAGTTTTGATTGCTGGAAGTACACTGAGATTCTTCACAGCTGAAGTAATTCTTTTCAGTCTGGGTCTATTATACCTCCTTGTTTCTGTATCTCTTCTGTTCATCCACAGTGCAAGTTAAAGTAGGGGAATAGAGGAGAAATTCAAATTCCAGTTAGTTTAAATCTTTACATTTACTATTAAGAAGGCAGAGTGAATATGTTCTACTTTCCTTACATTTACACAGAAATTTCTGTGGATAGTCATCTTTTTTTGAGCAAATGTGTATAGAGTTTATGTGTGTATGCACATTCTCAGTATTATATATAAGAATAAAATTATAAATTTTATTTTTTCAATCTATATACATATCTTGCTGGCATTAGAAGAAATTTGCTTAGAATTTCTGCCTAGAAAAATGACTCTATTCTTACATAATATTCTGTTATAGGGTTTGTGGTATCATGTATTCATTT